TTTTTTATTATTTTTTTTAAACTTAACCACTAATGTAATAACATTGCGACCATTAAAGTAACAAACTCAAAAATTGGTGGCATTTGATTTGCAACATATACGCACACTAACATATGAATCTCTACAGTGATACAGAGTATTAAGCAACGGACGCGTGACCAACACTGGGCGTTGAAACAGCAATGCCTGACATCAAAGCAGAAGGTCGTATGATTTTTTTAATAAATCCTAATAATTCTACATAACCAAACAGCTGTTCTCTTTGAGTTTCTTACATTAATGGTCGCAATGTTATCACATTAGTGGTTAAGTTTTTTATTACATTAAAGGTTAAAAAATTAATACATTGGTGTTAACTTTTTGTTACATTAGTGGTCGATATTCATTACATCAGTAGTTAGCGTTACAATAGTGGTCGATTATTACATTAGTGGGTGATATAAATGTTTCATGTTGTCTGTTGTCACGGATGATAAAAATGGACATGGATTGAAACTTGACTAGGGAAAGTTGGCCAACCTTTTCAAGTTTAAAAATCATCTAAAAAAATCTTATGATTAGTGTTCCCTGAAGCGTTTTGTGTAAATATCGTCTTTATTATCTCTAACGGAGCACTGGTGTATGATTAAAGGCAGTAAGTATTTAAATAACTTCAGCACAGAATTGACCTAAACCAGAAATATCAGAAATAACACATGCATCATTCAAAGGTAGCACTGGAAGATTTTCCTTAACTCCCCGCCTTTTTCACGGTGTCTATCGAACCAAATCCTTGAATATTAAGAGTTGTAACTAGAACTGATTTCATGCTTTTTTATTTGTGTAATGAATAATAAAGATTGGAGACCATGTGATGCAAAACCGTGCCAGAATGGCGGAACCTGCATTCCAAACGTTGATGACTACAGCTGTCAGTGTTTGGATGATTTTCTTGGTAAAAACTGCGAATTTCGCAGTACTACAACAATTCCAGCCATAAGTATGTTAATTCTTTTCATGTTTCCAAATAGAGCGATTTTACTTGACCCGTAAAATAGTTAATAACAGCTAGTGCAAATAGCTACAAATGAACAAAAGAAGACAATAGAATTCTAATAGTGCGTAGTATTCTACTACCTATTTCACGGGTTTAGTAAATTCACCCTATACCTAGTAGTAGGCCAGGCATTCTTTTTATACTCTGAATATGAAATTAAAAAAGCATCATGACTGTTCACTGTCTACAGAACAAGGGTATACGGGTAGCAATACGGTCTCTACCGCAATTGTCGTATTAATCAGAGAGAGTCTAAAACAAGCTAGTATTTGATATTTTTACCTCTTTTTTCGCAAAACCCTAGTATCGGCAGGCTGGAGAATCTTTACGTTTCCAACCCCTCTTGTATAAACACCCGCTAGATGCAAGTTATTACGTGATCGCAAGAATAAAACGGGTCTCAACACAGTTCCCTGGGGAAGACCAGACAAAAATTGAGGCCCAGGATCAATAACGTTCAGGCAAAACAACTCGCAGATATATTATCCTCGTCAACACAGCAACGAGGTTCTTAATAACAACAATAAGGACCGCCATTTCAACTCGGTAGACTAGTTTGACAGAAAGGTTTTGACACACGCAGGTCAAAGACATTTTTTTCGTTCTAGGCTACCTTTAAAATACCTTGACTATTTTGTCCATCACGGAAAAAAATGGAAGAATATAATACAGAAATAAATGCGACGAAAAAAAACATCATCTCATGTTAACTAAATATGCTTTTGTCAGCTAGTAACGTTAAAATCACATCAGTCAGCAATAGCGTCGTAATTTCACAACCTACGAAAGGTAAGACGTTGTTTTCTTTGCATTCACCTGTCAATTTTGACAGTTCTCAGGTCTCCAAAACCCATCTCAAAAGTCCCGAAAACATTTCGGGTCCGTAAAGTTACATAATGGGTAGTTAATTCACCAACAAATTTAAAGTTAATACGTTTCTTCTCGATTCTTTACTTTTGTTGACTTAAAAATATAACTATTTCTTATCGACAAGACATGTCTGTCGGATAAGCCGGCAAACTTAATTCTGACCTGCTCTTTGGGAGACTTGGACAAGGGCCTGGAAATAATATCTTCAGATCTTCCATGTTAAACATCCCATCAGTTACGTCCTTTACAATAAATTTCCTATTTTTTCGCACCACACTTACCGCGATCTCCTGCACAATCTACGCCAGGGCTCTTAAGGATAGAATCATCAGAGAGGGGCTACAAATAAGAAAGTGATTTATTAAAAAGTTATTGAAGTTGTACAAATAAGTTGTAGGTACATGAGCATCTCCGAAGCGAGCCTTAAGTGACAGGTATAGCTACAGGTAACAGACCTAATGATCAGCTTACAAACTCAATAAGAGACGCATTATCTATCGAGATAATTCTTTTTTTTAGCTCTTTCTGAGAAGAAGGATGTAATCGAAACCCCTTCGATCCTGAAAGTGACTTCATATCCTAGCACACTGGTCTCCATGGCGATAACTTCATCTCCGAGCACAGAGCCGACGGTTATGGTGACACCATCTTACAAGGAGCCAGGAATGACACCTGTGCCTACTTCTGTTCCCAAGCCCCTCACGGATGGTGAAACAGACGCCATTAAACAAAGCAAACAAAAAGGTGACTATTATGGTCTTTAAATACTTCTTTTAGGGGGGAGCGTACGGGCCGGAGTAGGGGTGGGAGGAGCAGCCTCTCCAGCAGTCAAACATTTTGAAATCTTCAAAACTCAATGTTGCGGACGCTAGTAGACTGCTTTTTTAAATCGACTTTTGAAGTTTTAAGGGCTTAAAACATGGTTCGAGTTATCAAGGGTAAAATTATATAGAAATGATCTGAGGGAAAATAAAAACCACTTCGAGTTAGCGGGAGGTTCGAGTTATCGAGGGTTCAAGTTACCGAGGGTAAACTTACAGTAAAGAGGGGGGTGAATAGGTCCGCGGATCAGCGGATTTGGCCTTAAAAAGCTCACGGATTGTGGATTTTGGCGATAAATGGAGCGGATTCGCGGATTTGAAAAATACCGTGGATCGCGGGTCAGCTGAAAGTTTTGGCCCGGTTTCCGGATTCTGTCAGTCTAGAAGTTTTGATTGTGGATCGGATCATCAATTTTCGGTCGGCCTTGGTCAATGTGCTGGTGTTTTGTCGGCGAACGTTCCACTTCCGAGGTTTCCGGAAGAGACTTTCTCATGACCCGACGCATATACATGTATTCTAGAAAAGACAGCGTGACGGAAATGACGTCAGGCAACCTTGTGCATGGTTCCTGCATGGTGACACATGGTTCAGGTAATGGCGGTAATGCTAAGTGACCTGACAAGATCTGTGAATGCGTTCGTGTAAATTGTCGAAATTGCAAAATGGAAACTAGAACTATCGAGTGTGTAGCCTTTTTCTACCACGAAGGTGCCAAACGCGATGACTTTATTCAAAAAAATAAGTTTCGATGCTGTGTCGATTCCAGTCAGTGGGGAAGTGTGGTGAAGCTACGCGAGCACGTTCGGTAAGTTTTATATTTGGTTTATACATGAACTGACATAAATTATGTTCTTCGAAGCTATTTCAGCTAGCTTGCTTGTCTTGATCGTTAAATTAATTCACGGTTTCTGTCGCCATCTTGGTTGAGGGCAAACACGGCAAAACTCGCGTCTCGATATCGTGAAGTTTTCGGTGCAATAAGCAATAAACAATTAACAATTATTCCTCGAGTCCGAATGGGCTCTGAGTCAATAGCCCATGAGTTCTCTGAGATCGCGTAAAACTAAACGTTACGGAGATGTTAAAAGCAGATACCCTAAGATAGCAGCAGCTATGGAAAGATTATTATATTTTTGAGTAGACAACTCTCAAAAACGGGCTACAAATTCAACAGGAATCCGCGCGAACTGAACAAATTGTCTGTTGTACATTTTAAAGATTCTGCTCAACTTACATAATTTTCCCTTGCTGAACATAAACTGTACCGAGCCGTATCTTGGTGCGCTATATAGAAGCTATATCATGGTTCAAATTTTAAACTGTAAGATCCCTGAAAGAGTTCTGCTCAATATGAAAAAGGTTTTTAAAGGTTTCACGCCGGTGAAGATGTGCTGCCTGTCACCTCTTGCAAGTTTTTACTTTTAAATACTTATTGGTAAGCAAATTATCCATCCTCGGAGACCCAGGGGCAGATAGTGGGGGCGAGGGAAAGTCCAAACGGGCGGAAAAATATGGCACGAAGAAAAGTAAAGAACGGCGAGAAGAGCCCCTGGGGACAATGTCTTACCAGACCAGTTCCAAACGGTCGCCGCCGTTCTAACTTCTTATTGGTGCCAGAGAACTTTTGTGTTTTTCTGCCTAATCAGAGGGCAGAACGGCGGCGACCGTTTGGAACTGGTCTGGTAAGACATTGTCCCCAGGGGCTCTTCTCGCCGTTCTTTACTTTTCTTCGTGCCATATTTTTCCGCCCGTTTGGACTTTCCCTCGCCCCCACTATCTGCCCCTGGGTCTCCGAGGATGCAAATTACCATGAAGTTGAGTTCTGCCTCTTCCGAATTTTGCGGCTCGACTAGAAGCACGTCCAAAGTGATGTCAGTATGTAAATTTATTGAAAAATCTTTACGCAATACCAGATACTTTCATTTTGCAAGTTGCAGACTATTTGATTAGTCAAATCTGTATTGTTGGAAGAAACATTATAAGCTCTGTCCCTAATGCTTAATGTTTTGAAGCTGTAACGAAAACGTCTTAAACATGAAGTCCCGCATCTGTTGCGATTACTGAACAACTGTGTTAAGTAATTCATTTTTTGATGCTACAACGCTACTTTCTATATACACGAAAAATTTTTAAAGTAACACGGATTCGGATTTGAACAAAAATTAAGTCGGATCGACGGATCGGGCCTAAAAATACCACGGATCGGCGGATTTGCATAGCCCTATTCACCCCCCTCAGTAAATGTATGACGAAAATCCAGGGGAAGTCGATTTTGGTTCGATTTAGCACGAGGTTATTAGCGAGGGTTCGAGTTATCGGGAGTCAACTGTAGTCTTGTCGTTTGACCTCTGAGACTTTTCATAAAGAAACAAAAAAGTGCATGTAGTTGTCCTTTCACCGATCACTGGCGTTCCAAAGCAATTGTTGCTTTCAAAATGTGGCGCCGTCGCTTATTTCTGTATTATTACTTCTCTGAAATAAAACAAGTGAATTCCACAAAAAACATGAACGACGGAACGCTGAGAACTTATCACAACTAACTCAACAGTCAGCCGATATTTCGGAACCAGTTTTTACAATTTTAACATCATTTTCAGCAAAATTTAGCCTTTTCCGGTTTTCCTAGCCGCCCTGTAAACATGTTTAAGCTTTGGTATCAGAATGGGGTCCATTTGTATTTTTGTAGCAGACATTCTCTATTCATATTCAACAAAACGGCATAGTTTTGTTAATTTAGCTCGAAGTTGACATAATCAATTTCTTACTAGATCGAGTAGAATGTTTGTTGATAGTCATTAAAGAGTGTGAGATGTTAAAAAATAACTACTTTTGGAATTATAACTGTTTAATATGTAAGTGAGTTTCAAAACTAATTATATAAACCGTCCCCTCCCCCCAACAAGAGTGAAGGTGCCCGTAAGCCTATGCAACTCACTTCATTGGCGACAGAAACTGTGTGTGTCAGCGTGCGTATGCGCACAGCTGAAGAATGAACTCAGTAATTTTTTTATAACATTATCAAAGCGATTACTGCAGCAGTTGACTTAAAATTTTATTTATATATTGTAGCGTGCGCTCAAAACAGTCCGTAACTGTGCTCACATTGTGGGTGGCTCCTCCTAAAATGTTCTGCAATTGGTATAGGATTTAATTGAGCCGAAACCAGTTGTGGACTGAGTGCACACTTTTTACCTCACAGGCATGTTTTTGTCTTGAAAGTGAGGGAAAGTTTACTCAACTCGCTTAAGATAACATTAAAAAAAGATTGTAAAATCCATATTGAGGTGCTGGAAAACTATCGATTCACCGAAAAATTCTTTTTGAAAGAAACAATTTTGCAGAGACTAATCTACACACGCCATAGCCCGCACAGCTCGCAGAGATAAAAACAACAACAGTCACCTCTTTTCCCCAGTATCGGTTGAAAAATTCAAAAGTATTCTCTCAAATTTACGTTACAAAACACATGGTCAACGCGTCATCGTGTACTGTTGAGTTATGGATGCACACGGGAGACGTCTTGGGAAGATTGCTAAGCTCACAAGGACTCGAGGTGTAGTTTATTGACGTCATTAGCGTTCTCAAACGAGGAATATGTAGCACGCTCGCGCTTTTAAATTTGATAGGGCAAGTATTCTAGCTATGTTATAACCGTACGGTATAGGAGTCTGCTGTGCGATAAATCCGGAGCTCGCCGAGGGATTATGATCACCATGAGTAAGCCAAGGTGAACTCGATAAAGAGGTGACCCTCACACAGATTAGACTTTTTTATTGTTTGGAGCTTATAAGAATCCGAAAAATTACATTTGTTTGAGATTTGTTTTCCGTTGCGACCGTTTTGAATTTTGTGGTTAGCAGTCTTCAATATTTATCGAAATCTATACCCGTTTGGGTTTATCTCTTTCTACTTTTTTTCTTTACAGGTTTTAAAGTTATCAATGTTCTCATTCCATTGCTGGTTATTTTGCTCCTGTTTCTCCTGATTATTGTCTTAGTCATTTGGTTTAAGAAGTAAGTTTTTCAACTCATGATTCCACCTTATCCCCCGGTTATAGTACTTTAAGTGGTAGCAGAAGAAATAGCAGTGTCTTTATCGTGGGGTGTCATTCTCTATTGTTCTGGACACAAAAATATGAGCACATTTGTAAATTACACGATTGGTTAAATTGGACCCAGGTAACCAAAAGGCCTAAAAGGTTGTTTCACGCCCACTTTGTTGGCATTCAAAATCGACCTTTCAATAGTTTTGCAGGTAAGATGATAAATCCTTCAATTAACCGAAAACAAAATGGTGTTGTTGGCTAACCAGGATCGAGATAAACTAACATCAGAGCCAGGACTCCAGTTAGGACTTTTCTAATTTTTCTGTAAGCAAAAAATAAATTTCTAAATAAAAATAATAAATAAACAAAAAAATATGACAAAAAGGACCCGTAACCTCCTAACCCTAACCCTAACTCGAGCTAACCCTCCATGATTGCCACGAAAACCTTCCTTTTAATGTTCGCGTGACTTGCAGGAGGTAAAAATGGCGGGAAAGCGAAAAACTGTCGACTCCTGCGTCAAGTCCTGGCTGGAGATCCTGGCTCGGTATATAGATCCTCTCCAGGATCCTCCCTTCTTTTCTTGAAATTCGATTTTATATCTCTTAGGGATATTTGGCGTCGGGCCAGAAAGTTACCTTAATTATTGATTAACAGGCCCCTCAGTGATGAAGCAACACCAATCACATATAAAAAACTAATAGTTTCAAATCGTTTAATCAGCATGTAAACCTGGGGACAATCAGGATGTTTACTTCATAGTTATTGGTCAATTTACTCACTTTTTCTTTCTTCCATGCAGGAGGACAAACAAAAAGAAAAAACTAGTCGATGGCAGTAAAAAGTAGGTAAAAATTTCATAACCATTCGGGGCCTACCTAACTGTTATTCCGTCTG